GCATGCCGGGGCTGATGTTGTGCGTGTGGCCCCGCCCCCTGTCCTCCCTCACTCACTCATTCGCGTCTCTATTAGCGTGTCATGGCTGGTGTTGGTTGTGTGGCCCCGCCCCCTGTCCTGCCTCACTCACTCATTCGCGTCTCTATTAGCGTGTCATGGCTGGTGTTGGTTGTGTGGCCCCGCCCCCTGCCCTGCCTCACTCGCATCCATGTGTGTCTCTTAGCGTGCCGGGGTCGGTGCATGACTGATGAGCAGTGTGTTTTTGTCTGTGAGCCAGCCAATAACAACACACCCACCTGTCAGGCTCACTGAGTGGGAAATCACCAGTCAGTTATTTCCATTTTGTTTCATTTTTAAAGTTGTGCATCAGATGTGACCAATTATTGCTGATGATCGGGAAGAATACAAACATGTTGAAACGTACAGACTGTGGGGCATTAATAGCACATAGGCTGCAAGAAGCATTACTGGTTTCAGGTTAACCTATGATCTAGTTTATATGTATTTCACTGCCCCTTTTCACTCAGAGAAACCTTTTGGATATTTTATAAGTGGATGTTTCACTAGAGAATTTCACACCCTGCAGCTCACATGATCCACTGTGTTCTCAGCAACGATGTATCATTTCACGGGATATTATGGTTGATCTGAGATTGGTTCCCCATGTCTACTTTCTGCAGGATTAAGTGACTCCCATCCAGAAATGAATAATGGCACCACACAGCTGCCTCAGGTTAGTTTTCAAACACAACAAAGTTATGTTCAGATTGGTGCTTTGATGTTAGAAGTTGAGCGTAAATGCAGGATCATTCCAGTGGGGTTTTTCAGCTCCCTTTTGAGTGCGATCAGAATTGCGACTCTCCTTACCGGCCTGCTGCTCCTCAGCCTTGGAGATGTGATGAACTTTGTGGCCTGGGGGACGTTACCACACGCACGGTGACAGGGAGCAGCGTGCTAAGGGCTCGAGGCTGCTCTGGGAATGGAGGACTGGAGTTAAAGAGAGATCCCACCCTGGGGTCTTGCACGATTCCTTCTCAGCATGGCTGGTAAGGAACCTTTAGGTGGAAGCTCTCAACTCACAATGTGCCTCCTGTGTTGCATCAAAACCTTTAACATATAAAACTGCTTTACAAAGTATTTCACTGGTAAGTTTTTTCATATACATTTTTACAGGTATTTGTGTAATAGTTGTTATGTTTTTTCTTTACTTCAGGCCTGTTCTTCAGCCTACACCAGCTTTGGGCAGCATCCAGAGCCAGCCAAGCATTTTTCCAGAATCGGTTAAAAATCGGTCCTTATCCAACGTCTTTGTCCCTCTGGAGTCGATAAAGCCTAGTAAGTGAAATACTACCATGTCTTTAAAAAGTAATTTGGTTGTTGTTCTCTTGCACTGTGTTATGGCTTTTTCAACGACGTAGCTAAGTGTCCACAATGGAAACAGCACATTGGTGTTGGATGAAGGAAAGTTTCCCGGTTGTCAATGATAATTAAACACCAAAGGGCTTTAATTTTTAGTGTTTTAATTAAGTGTTATCTTACAGAAAAGATGCTACCCATTGATTCCCAAGCTTTCTTGGTCCCCGGCTTGAAGTGCTTCAAAGCCGCTGTTCCACGTTTCTTGACCCAGCTCTGCAGATTGTTCTCCTTTACGCTCTAAAAGTGATACAGAGTGTTTCTGCACGGCAGGTGCTGCTGCACCTGTCACGGTCCATGACAAGGATGGCATACGAGTGATGCTGCACCTGGCCAGGGACTCGCCGCCGGGGCGACCGGATGTCATCGTCATGGTGATCTCGATGTTAAACACTTCACCACATGCTGTCCGGGATGTCATTTTCCTAGCTGCGGTGCCAAAGGTATCGATCTCCAGGGTCCGACATACTTCACCGAATCTTTCTTTAGACAAACCATTACTGAAAGTTGATATTCCAGTGTATATCCTCATAGTTTTATGATAAATGTTTTATGTTAAATGATAAAACCCTGCTTCTCTGTCCTCCATCCCACCTGCCCAACCCTGCAGACCATGACTGTGAAACTGCAGCCAGCCTCTGGGACACAGCTTCCAGCCTACAATCCCCTGCTGCCCCCCACCTCCATATCCCAGGTCCTGCTTCTCTCCAACCCTCTCAAAGTGAGTTGGCCGGACTCCCAGTCGGCTCCTGGCTGCAAGAGGCCATTAAGCCAGGAAATATGCCAAACTCCGAGCACTGCAAGGAAATAGTCATTCCACATCATGAACGAGATGAGTGGGAAGGCTAGTGTTTTGTAAATTATAACGGACTTGGTGATCTAATGACCTTTATCAGAAAGCAGTTATCAGAATGAAGCATCTTTTTTTGTTTTTATTTCTTCTAATGTTGTATTCTGCCAGATCTGTAGTGTGCAAATACTAACTACTGGTAGTAATGGGCATGTTTTCAGTCCACCTGTCGTTACATTGGTATTTCCCATGATAGCTTATCCAGTGCGGGATCAGAGAGGGGGGAGAGACTGGAACCTACCCCAACATAAGTAATGAATGAATCTAACTTTGGATTGTATGTTTGTGTCACTATGTGCATTTAATACACTTATTATTCTGAATTATTTTACTTTTCAGCTTTTAATTGAATCAGTTTAGTTAGTCTAGGCCAGTCTTTCCCAATCTGGTCCTCTGAGACCCCCAGACAGTCCGCATGTCCGCTCCCTGCCAGACAGTCCGCATGTCCGCTCCCTGCCAGACAGTCCGCATGTCCGCTCCCTGCCAGACAGTCCGCAT